ACATCTTTCTTGAAGAACTGTACAAATACTGCAGCGTTATATTGTTTACATAATCTTTGGTGGAGATTAGGGTTAGCATCTGCTGACATTTTAGATCTCAGACAAAGAAATTGTGTCACACCTAAATTGTCAACGGGTTATTCTGCACAGTTTGCCTCAAACAAAAAACATTACACGTTGATCTGGAACATACATCAACATCTTTCCACGGTTTTAATTACTTTTTTTCATTTGAATTAAAGAATTAAGACCCTCCAATTTGGTTATAATCAGCTAATACAATCACCAATGCATTCTGTCATTTTAAAAAATGTGACTGCTCTTCATTATGAAAAGGGTTCGGAGTGACAAAACAACTACTGGGAAGATACAGCAGACTTCAGAGTAATGTGTGAGACCTTGTGGATTCATTTCTCTATGGCAATCATCAGGGGTGGGAATCACCACAATACGATAATATCACGATACTTGAGTTACGATACAATATTGGTGCGATTTTTAACATTTTGCGATATGCTGAGAATTGCGATACAATATATTTTGATATATATTGCGATTTAACTTTCTTAACTGTAAATTATGTCGACTAAATTCAACTAAATCAAGAATGGTTTTGTCAAATAAAACATTCTAAGTATCCATCTCACTTCAGTCTTTTTATTTCTACATAATAGGATTGAAGTCCACAGACTGACCAACACTGTGATAAAAGTCAAATCCTGTAAAAGGCTGCATGCTTCGATACTTCACGGCCATGAATAGACACAATGCCGCCCAAAATATAGATTTTCTACCCAACTCTGGCAATTATAATTATCTAATCCTTGTCTGAGCTTCTATATTAACATGAACTGTGGTTTTATTTTTTATGCAAATAATTATCAAGTTAGTGAGTATTGTCTAGTGTTGTGAAGTAGGTAATGTGATTTTTGAGTCTGATATATTGGACACCTCATTACAATATAAAAACTGAATGTAATTGTCCGTCTCTATCGTCAGTATTGATCACCTGGACTACGCATGTTCGCACGAGCCTAAACGAGAGCGGTATGCATTCTCTCATCAAAACAAGTCACAGCATATCCAGCCATGTCTTCAGAATCATGTGACACCATGGCGGCAGCATTCATATCACAGCTGCCAGCGAGACAGCAGACTGTGATGCTGCCACAACGCAAAACACTAATGAACAGCAACACCAGTGGCCGTATCTCCAAACGTTATTTGCTTTTGAAGGCAGAGAAGACTAACAGAATGAAGTGTCTCTTGTGTCTGCCTATAAAGAGGGAAATAATGGCATTTTGTGTTTTTGTACTTTTACCTGAACTATTCATTACTTGACTTATATTTTAACACTTGGATACTTTTGATATTTATAATTGGCTACTTTAAGACTTTGACTTGAGTAATTTTCTTTAAGATGACCTTAACTTTAAGCTTGGTAACTTTCAAGTGAGGTATCTTCACTTTTACTCAAGTGTGGTTTTCAAGTATACCCTTTCCAACACTGGTATTCTCAGAAACACCATTTGAAATATATTCCATCATGGGAAACTTTCGCATCTTCACATCTTTAGACTGCAAACTGACCTCTCGTGCAACAGTCCTCTCTTCCAGTCTCCGACGCCTTCAGGCCTTTCTAAATGTTCAACAAAATATATGTAAGACCATTCAGAGGCAGTGGTGGGGAGTAGGAGATGTGTCATCTTTACAATACCAAACCACTTCCTTTGACGTGTCATTTCAAGAGTGGCAGACTGGACACACCCTGTCATAACACTTCTCATTCTGGCTACCCGTTTTCAAATAAACAGGTGTGTAGAAGTAGAGAGAAAAAGCCAGTAGTTTAGAGCATCTTCTGATCACACTCAACTGTTCTTAAAGCACTGACAGATGTTCAGCAACAAGAATTCACTTATAAATGGCGATTGAAGAGGATGGAGAATGCACCAGGCCAGCAAACAAATAATGGATTTTTTATGCACCATGCAAACCTATCAGTTGGAAATTGTTTTCCAGTCTCCTATATGGACACATCAGCAGGGTGAACTCGCGTTGAGTCATCAGCTGCAGACGGCAGAATGCCTTCAGTTTTGCTGCCATTTGGTATGAAGGTAACCAAAAAGGACCAGGGGATAGACCCTCATATGTTAACTTATAACCAAGTCAAAGGAACACATAATTTAATACAATTCTTAAATGACTCTTCATTAAAATGTTAAGAAGTGAAAATATATATTTTATAATTATTTAAATGTGCTCAAGTTGTCTATAAGGATCTTAAATGTTTTATTTAAACTGTGTTGATTTTTATGCGGCACTGCTTACTATCACTTCCTGTAATAGTAGTTAATAAAAGTTGTTTCATATCATCCAACGAATAGGTTGAATGATCAAAATGAGACAACACGGTTAAGTATAGCCATGATACTTTCTGTTGACAACTACATTTATCTTTTGTATTGCAGGTATTTCTTCATTATGTTAGTTTGATAAACATCATAAAATCAGTCTGGACTTAAATTTGTGTTTATACGATCCCATCACAGTGAAGAGTCACATTTTATGCATAGGAAATTAGGAATCCTCCTACTGTATGTTCTAGCTGCAGCATCTTTCTCTGAACGGGCATTTCACTCTAAGTAGTTTTCCCAGAACCGATGGGCGACTTCAACAATTGTTGAACAACATAAGATAAGACAACAGTTTGGCAGCTTTACATTCACACACACACACAAAGCTTCCTCTGTTGCTTTACAGTGATCTAGTCTCGCCCCTGTAAAGCCTGTCTTACAACTACTTCATACTGAAGACGAGACGTTGCAGGGTCTTAGTTATCAAGCAATCTGAATAGGGCTTTTAGCTAATGCTAGCGTGTGGAAAATTAAGATATTTGAGAAACTGTAACATTGCACTGATGGATTTGCACTGTGGGGAGTAAAACTTGCTAAATATTACATCTGGTGACTAAATAAGGTGTTACTATTTTTTTTTTTTTAAATGATTCATCTCCCATCGATTATCTTTGAAACCCAGAACACTCATGAATAATTAGGCTGCTGGCCTCTGACCCCACTGCAGCAGTTTTCTGTTTGGGTTAGCGTGTTTAGAGGTCTGATTTGCCCGACAGCTTGTGACATTTCCAGAGTTGACGACTTACATTATTGAACACTGAACAGCTCTAGAGACCTGAAGATATCCTCCTCTAAAAAGCAGATTAATACCAATTAATCTTAGGGGTCAATTTGGAGATATTAACGGTCTTAGTTTGAATGCTAATTAGGACTGACAAGTAAAGCGGGAGAAGAACCAAATATTGACACCGACTATAAAGTCAACATGTCTGATGGAATGGAGTGCTGGAATTTATTTTCTTCTTTTTAGAAAATCACAAATCCTATTAAGACTTCAAGGGCTGCCTGTTTGGTGGCTTTATTGATTGGTGTTTTTTTTCTTAGGGTACAAAATAATGATAATGTCATGTTTATGTCAAAAGATTAGAAAACAAAACATACCTGGTCAGTATTTCAAATTGGTAACTGGCTCAAATAACTACAAAATGACAATATGAGTTGACTCAACATTTAGCACACACTGTAGCATTGAAGTGAACACTGAGCCCCATATGACAGCAGGCTCCTTCCACAGTACACATGGTTCATCACACACTCAAACTTCTCACAAAGGCCTTATGGTACTATAGGGCCTCTCCAGATCAAAGACTGAGGACAATAACAGGTCCAGAACATGTAGATCTAATAAGTGCAGGCTACATTAAACCCACAGAGGAACACTTAGGACAATGCCAAGCACCATTTATGGCAGGTAAAGAAAAGTGGATGCTGTTAATAATCCATTTCACATCAGTTTTAGCGATTAGTCTTGGGCTGAAACGCAGTCTGAATTGTATGAAGGGCCCTTCCAAGCGCACACTGAACCGCGAAGCCCCTGACAAGACCATGAAGAAGACTTGACTGCAAAAAATAAAAATAAAAAGATAAACATTCACAACATCCTCTGAGGACTTATACCGAAACCGATCGAAAGGGGAAAACTGGACTTCTTTTTTTTTCTTTAAATGCATCAACAACACCTTTTATACCCTCCTCTGGCAGCTGATACTTGTAATGCTGTACACCCACCCTGCGCCCACACACTGGCTTTAGAGTAGCCTCTCTGCTCTATCATCCTCTGGAAAACAGATAGATACTCGCCTTTGTTTCACCTCCAGGTGAACTGCTACAGGATCACCAGCCCACTGAGCAGCGTAATCACCCGGGGCTGTATCGCTTGGCCGTCGAGGTAACTACATGATGGGCCTTCTCGCACTCTCCCACTGCAGCTAAATATCCACTATATGTTATTCCGTCCTCCCAGCAGCTCATGATCAACAACCAAACGGCAATGCAGTGGAATATGTATCTATCAAATAATGCCACCAGTCCACTTCACATTAGCCCACTAATTGGCCTTTCAACACCGAAACCCACAATCACAGGTAAGAAGAGGCTGCACGGACACACAGTCACACTGCGCAGCTAGGCCTATATTTTGGTCCACACTCAGCTCCATGTAATATATACCTTTAAATATCCGTTATATCATCCTAAACAGCCAATATCTACAAAACAACTTGTGCTGTTGTGAAAAAAATTACTCGATAGCCAACATGTAAAGCTGCCGTCAGAGCGAGATGCTGCAAACACTCTGCGTTGTTCATCTCAAGCCTGCGGGGCCTTATGTTAACCTGTCCGGTTAGTGTGTTTGTAGCCAGCACACAGTCAGATTTAAACTGGTTTCAATGGAATATGTTTGATGTTTTCCGCTAGACAAAGCCCTGCGCAGCGATGAGAGACAGTGGAAGCATAGGTTATATATCCCAAGGAGGACAGCCGACAGCTCAGGCTCGTCCATGTCCATGGCCATGTCGTTGAGGTGTTGAGGTGGTGAGGGGGTGAAGGGGGGGGGGTACATTTAAATTGTCATTCAGTTGTGCTTACCTTCTCGTGCCTTCAGGAGAACCGTGTTAGCCACGATATTTTCAATCTCCATTGTCAGAATGTGAATCCCGAGCAGTCGCGATACATTTCATTTAGCGGAAAAAGACGGGTTTTCTGATCAAACGTGCCGACGACGGTGAGGCTGTTGCACGCGCGCAAGGCGAACGCGGCACTGGCGCATAGTAGGTGTTTAAAAGTGGTCGTCGTTCTTCTCCATTTAAAAGGCGTTTTATCAAACCCTGCCTACGGAGCTCTATTACGACGGGGGCTCGTTAGCATTCACAGCCTGCCTCTCCTCGTTCTCTGCCTGCCTGCCTGCCTTCCTTCCTGCTTCGGCTTCCTCCTCCTCCTCGCCCCTCGCCCCTCCTCTGCACAACTACCCAAGGAGAGTAGGAGGGATCAATTTACAACCAGTGCAACCACGCACACACTTTCACACACGAGTGACACTCGTACAAATATGCCATACATGCAATTTCCTTGGCATAGTCTCCTGAAATCATTAGGTTATGCAGTTTATTGTAGGGCAGTTTTTGAATAAATCATTATGGTGTTTGGGATTCTTTAAGTTTCCATTAGGAACAATATCCCCCACAGTAACAATAGAGTCCAATGGAAATACCTCGAAGAAGGATATTTTTCTTTTCATTAATAAAAAAAAATAAACCTTAAAACGGTCTCTAATCTAAACATAAATGATAATATGACTACTAATACAAGTAGGCCAAATCAACTTTTCCTCTGCATGATTTCCTTCTAGTGCTATTTCATGTGCAGCTGGCTAGGCTATTTAAAAAAAAGCTATTGGCCACAGACTACTGATACAGACCTCTTAGTATGTTAACAATGGGGCAAGGTTTTTTTTAGGTAGTTACATTATACCAGCCATACAGCCTGGAGAAAAGAGATAACACACAGGCTCTCTCATTCTTAAAACCAGACTGTCAAGCATCTTTCTTATCTGACTTTTGGATCAGTTTAACCCCTCACAGCTTTGGGAAGAGCAGTATGTCAACAAAACGAGAAGAGATTAGCTGCATGCAACTTTAGTTCATGCGAAAATTGTAACTATGAAACCGATTTTTACTTGAAAGGTTTGTGATAAAAAAAAAAGATGTGATAACAGAGACTACAGAATAAGTTGGAGATACTAGTTTTAACAATGAGCAAAGTCAAATGCCAAAAAAAATGACTCATTTTCATTTTCATATCCTTACTGACTTTTTAACACAACATTTCAGGGACTGAATAAAGACACATCACTGCTGTCTCTCTGTGTTTTGCTGTTGTTCATATGTTTTACAACAAATGGAAATTTAGAGAAAGACAGAATTTTTGTGAACAGCGAGTGGTGTCGTGTGTGCCTGGACATGGTATCTAAATTATGTGGTATAATGTTCTTACACCTCCCTTCTATTCTATAATCACTATTATTTATCCCAGAAAAGTAGGAAAATCAAAGTATTGGATTGAAAGTATCAACATGCAATGTTAAAACACATCAATCCATCCTTCCTCTCTGGTTTTCCTCATCAGAAGCCAGAGTGGATGTGAGATGTACAGCTGTATACTGCTTTTCAGTTTACTAATGTAACGCTAACCATGTTTTATCATTAGATGGTATCTTTGTTACCATTATGGTGCTTTTCATCTGCAACAACAAATAAAACACTAGAATACAGCTATTGTCAGAGATGATCCATCGGCAGTGCATTAGATGCTGCCATCTAGTGGTGATGATGCATGCAAAATGACCTTATACATCAGTCTTATTGGTTCAAAATTCAAAATGAAGTTTTTCTTATTTTTATTTTATCTTCATGTAAGAGATTTAGTTTCTAAGTGACAGTATGCATTTCTGTCATCATACTCAGGGTGGAATGTTTAGGCTAAGAGAGGGAATAGGCAATCGTGTCACTGAATGGACATTGATTTATTTTTTTGCCCTGAACAGGTGTCTGAAAACGTTCACCTGTTAATGGACTTGAATGGTAAATGGACTTGGGAGTGTATAGCACTTTTTTAATCTGCTGACGACTCAAATATTTATACACTGCAGGTCACAACTACCCATTAACACCCATTCACACACTGATGGCAGAGGAGCTATGTAATGTGTTCATCAGTATTAACTCATCCCATTCATACACCTTCATATGCTGCCACTGCCGAGAAGCAATTTGGGGTTAAATTTCTTGCCCATGGACTAACCAGACATGTGCCTGCTGGAGCTGGGGGTTCGAGCTGAGAGACGACTGATGTTACTGAGCCACAGCCTCACAGAAATAGAAGCATTGATGGATAAATTACATCCTTCCAAAGAATAAAAGTTTCAAACTAAACCTGAAGTAAAAAATATGATCCACTGTCTAATGCAAGGCAGGGAATAAGAAATTGAAATACATTGTAATCTTTACAAATTATACAAAAGCCATAATGGGCAGAAAAAGCTGTTTAGTAGCACTAGGGACTCAATAGAGCATGTAACACCTAAGGACTATCTGCCCTAAGTTTAGCTCACATGTACTGAGCACATGTGCGCTCCTTTCATCCTGTTTCTGCAACAAACATTTGACTTTCCTGTTTTCTGATACCAGTCCGCCTGTCTGCCAACCTGCCAATACCACCTTGAAGGCAGAATTCATCATTGTACTGCATCACTTTGTCTGCGTTTGGTCTTTCTTTTCATCAGTCCTGCACTTCCAACCTTGACACATGCACATAGAATGCAACACAAAACAATAGTTAGACTAGTCAACTACATAAATCACTATTCCATAAACAAATACAAATGTGAAAATCCGCTCTCTGCAACTTAATGCAAAAGCAAAATTAAAAAAGATAGATTTTACAACAAACTATACACTGTGTTATTACATTGATGAATTCCAATGGGAAATTGAAAGCTTCTTCAAGTTGATTCTAATTAGCATAGGTCAACATCTTGTTTATCTATGTTCTGTTCTTAACTTTACTTGGAACAGATTCTAAATTAAAAAAACATGTTGAATAAAATCTTGAAATATGAAAACTGCCTGAATGGAATTGGACATTCCTCCTCAGAGTATTTGATGAATGAAGACCTGGATGACCTCATGTTCTAGCAGATGAGTTCTGTTAGCCCAATAGTATTATCAAAGATGATCATTTTGCTAAGTGGTGTTTTACCCATGAACAGACCAGGACTCTGTCTTCCATTTGGCAGCTTTATTCTCCCCCATGCTGTATTTTTTTATGATTAGTTTTCTCAAGAAGCATCGGGTCCTCACAGCAAAAACAGCATACATGCGTATTCATCTCTTGAACACGACCCTGACTATTTACGTTCGAGTAAAAACGAACATGAAATCACAGGATGTTTTTTAAATAAACAAATTAAACAAAAATGATATAATAGTATATATTTTCTAACTTATAGTGTAGTATGCTTTCTTCTGTCCATTTGAATTTAATATAAATATTTCTAGATTGCAACACCGGCCATATACAGTATATGGTGTTTGTGTTCCTTGCATTCAAGCTGATGTTAAATTATTGATTGCTAATGCATCTGAAATGCTTGGTCCTTTGGATGTGCTTACTAGTCATGAGAATATACCTTATTCAATTAAAACTGTCCCCCTTCACGGATGCTGTGATGACCTCTGTGTGTGTGGATACTCCTCAGCTACTGGTAACAGGATATCCATGAATAAACCCCAGAGAATTTGCAGATGAATTAGAGTCAACTGTGATTTCAACAGAAAGATGAGACAAGAAGACAAAAGGACAAAAAGGATAAGTCAACAGATGATGCAGGGAATATAGAAATGATTATAGATTCAGTCAAACAACAAGGTGGACACCACATCTTACCTTAGACCTCTCCTTTATTAAACTGTTAATGCATTGCTTAGCAGAAAATGAATGGATTAAAGGAGAAGGCTGAGAAAAATGAAATGTTTAACGAGCATGACATATTGTCTCAAAGTTGTCATCAATAATCTATGCTGAACAGTATTTAGGCAAAAACATCTGGTATTATGACTGATGTTCATTGGCACAGAAACACAGAGGTTTACTTTGGTTCTTGTGATGGCCTGTAGGCAAGTCAAGGCAACAACAGCCTAAACAATATAGTAGGGCAACATGTCGCTTAACTCTGTTTTGAAATGCAGTGGCCAAGATGCTTTAAGGAGAATTACAGTTTCCAATGGATTGATGGCCCTTATTGAAGGAGTTGTTGCGGAGAGCAGGTAAAGATTGGCCTTGAAAGCAGGATTCCAAAGTGTAAGTGTTGACTTAGAGGTCAGCTCAAAAACAGAGCAGCAGCTGTTAAGGATACACCAAATCATCAACTATAACATTTATTTGGTAAATACTACTCGGGTACAAACAGTACTCAGAATGCTCCTGACACCAAAAATCTAATCCTCAGCTTCAAGATTCTGCATACAGTATTTGGAGACATCTTTTTAACGGGAAGATTCCAACCTAAGAGAATGGCTTATCTGCTTAGACAGAGGAGGCGATAGCTCCAGTTGAATCTTTTATTCTCGAATACTTTATTTGATTAGTTGTTTGACAACAGAGAAAAAGGTTACATTGTTATTCTTAATTTCAGCTATGTATAAGTGTAACAGTAAAGTGGTGCTCACACTTGAATGCATTGTCATCATAATCTCATAAAACTATATGCACTATATTATGAGATATTCGGCCCTAAGTAAATTGGATTCTGCAGCAATTTCTTTAACTTTGAATACTTAAATCAAATAAAGAAGGACAGTCTTTCTGTGGACTATCAATATTTGTGGAGGGATGTAAAAGATTGTTTTAACCAAAATGAATGCTTGTAGATTTATTTTTCAAATGTACTCTCTAAATAAGATAATAATAAAGAACAACAACAAGAAACTGAACTATATCTAGAGTACACTGTGTCCTGAGAAGATCAGACAAATAGATAATATTAAACAAAATCACAAAAATGTGGATTGTTAATGTTCCTGTTTGCTGAAATGCTATCAGCATTTAGGACACTAGATGGTGCTGCTAATTAAAAGATGCAGCCAGAAGTTATATCACCAATCACTTACTCTCATATGTTGTCTTGGGAATTTTAACAAACAAGGTGCAACTATTATTTATCTTCTCCTCATCTGCATAAGGAGAAGATAAATGATCATTAAACCCTTACCTCTGATTGGTTGTTATTGTCTCGTGTTTCAATAGGCTCAGGACAGTCTTAGAGAAGATTAAGTGTAAATGTTTGTGATTATGATTCTTTCATTAAAAAAATCACCTCTTCAACAGTTTGTTAAATGGTTTGTGTTGTTTAATAAAATGGAATAAAGGAGGGGACCT